TACAACACGGCTATCTAAACGGCCATATACAAACTCCCCACCTAGACGCAAACAAAAAATAACTCACACAACAACAAAGGGGGTCATCTATCGGATCCCCCTCAACACGTCATTAACATCATTAAACAAAATAAACAATGTCAAGACAGCCAGTAGGATGCACAACAAAGACAAACAACCTACTACATCCATCCTACTGGAATTTCACTCAAACACTCTACCTAAAGAAATCAAATTTAACAAAATCACATATCCAGTAATACAATTCAACGTACTACGCAAACAACAAAAACCTACTACAAAGCATACCAAACCAAAATATTCCCAGGGCTCGACAACCCAAATCACCTACAACAAAACTACAACAAATCGACTGTACTCGGCAGTCGTACAAAACAACACTCCACAAAATAACACAAACAAACACACCAACACTACTACAACCATTAACTCACAAATAACCTACACAAACAAAACGGGTACCCGGCACCACAAGTCACCCCCATAAATAAACTGACACAAACAACACCCACACAAACCTCACCAACACAGCCAACACCAACACAGTCCACACCAACAACATCACCAACACTTTTCTCAACACAAACACCCCAAACCTTAATAACAACCACACAAACCAAAAACACTCCTACACAACAAACAATACACCTTCTGGACAGTTCTGGAGAGTTAGACGACTCGGTTCTGTCCAAACCTCCCACACCTCGCTCTCCTACTGGATTGTGTAGGCGTAGGACACAAACAAACAATAAAACAACACCAAAAAACAAACAAACAACACCAACACGCCCTAACACCAGATCACGGGCAAAACACACCGCCAATCAGCCGAGACCTGGAAATAGCAAACGACAGCTTTACTAGAGCCACAAGCAACATAAATTTAATATAAATACCCATTTTCTTTCGCGGGTATATTAAATGACCAGTCAGGCCTTACTGTCATGCATTGGAATGCAGGAGGCCTTAAGCCGGAAATTTCAAATTAAAATCATTTCTGAACGAAAATGCTCCCGATATTTTATGTATTCAAGAAACAATGCTTAAACCTAAACACAAAAGTTTAAAAATTAATGGTTACAATCCACCATTTAGGTACGATTCGGACCAAGGTTTGGCAATATATATAAAATGCGGAATTGCATACAAAGAATATGAAATCAAAGACCAAGATCTTGTGGCTCTAGGAATAGAACTACACAACAAAACAAACAAAACAGTCATACTCAATATATACCTCTCCCCCACAAAACCAATTCCATTTAATTCCCTGGTGAATCTGATAGAAAATATCGACACAGATAACATCATTGTAACCGGGGATTTTAATGGACATCATACATTGTGGGGAAGTAACAAAAACAATTCCCGGGGAGAAACAATACACAAATGGGCAGATGAGACTGGTCTAACCATACTAAATGAGGGTAACCCTACTAGAATAGATGTTGCACGGGGTATCGAATCCCATCTAGATATCACACTAGCGTCTCCAAACTTAGCTAGTAAATGCAGCTACTGGAACACCCTCGATAGCACTCTAGGTTCCGACCATTACCCAATTTTGACACAGTTTGATTTTAAACCTCATGTCAATACAATTCAATACCCACCACGATGGGTTTTTAATAAGGCCAATTGGGACCAATTCAAAATTTTAGCAGAAACAATCCAACATGAGGAAATTTTCGATCAAGATGTTGACGTCTTTAATGCAAATTTAACTAGGGCTATTTTAGATATAGCGTCAACATCTATCCCTAAAACTTCAGGCAAACCCAAAACGAGGAAAAACAATCCATGGTGGAACGATGAGTGTAGGTTAGCCAA